AAATGAGTCTTCTCAACTCATTCAAACAATTAGTCCTAAAAAAATTACAAATATACAAGCTTGTTATATTATTAACACAGTTATTATACCTACTATCGAATACCACTTACAGAATATTGTTCTTAGCCAAACAGCCTGTAATAAAATCTTCACTCGCCATATTGGTTTAGTCAAGCACAAAGCCAAACTCAGCTGCACTATATCTATTAGCACTCTACTCTATTCACAAATTTACAATTTCAAAAATATCTGGGATATTCAATTGCAATATCACATTTCCAACTTTATCAAACAACTCAACAATAATCATCTTCTTGGTACTTCTACACTCATCCGTATCCAACAACTACAGAACAATCTGTGGTCTCCTATAAATATCTTTTCCCATCCTAATCCTATAATTGAAGGCCCTAATAGAAACATTACTAATTTTAAAATCATTCAGCTCCTCAAATATATTAACTGGACAATTAGGCCCAACCTTAATACCTCCATTCTTTTTACAATTCAGGAAGGCTCAACTTCACTTGAATCAATTCTTGCTTCTCACCCTCAATACCCTACTTTTAAAAAACAACTTCGACACCATTATCTACTTTTTTTGATCAGCTTACTACATCTAACAATCTGCTTGAATGGCAACACATTTCACCAAGACTAAACAAAATTCCAAAAGGCAGAATACCTAAATAGTTTACTACACTAGAAAACATCTCTACTTCTAGCTCCCCCAACGAACTATTCATTCACACTTTAATCTTCTATCTACTAACTACTATAGCTATAGTACTGGCCACTTCTACCAACACACTAAACCTTGGCTAATCTCTTTACTCAACAATCAATTGGTTGTTGGTAAAGCTCGATGCCAATATACAACAACTGGTCACATACTCATTACTCATTGGCAATGCCACAATCTTATCTACTCAACACAACTATATCTACTTGCTTCTATATTTCTTTCACCTTGCACCAATTGTCTACTTAATACCAATCTATTAGCTAATAAATGCACTATTTTTATTCACACAAATCTTGCAACAAAGTTTTTCGGTAGACTTAATATAGACAATTTAATTAATTTTCATTCCAACTATCAGGACCTTATACACTCAATTCTAATTTTAAATGTTACTCCTATTCCACCGCTCTCCACAATTATTATCGGACAATCTCAAATACCAACCTTCTTCACTCCCAGTGAAGCTACTCAGACCCTTCAATCAATAGCTACTTACAATCAAAATGCCACTAATCTCAACTTTTACACTGATAGCTTTGTTACAAACATAGGTACCTCCCAATGCTCTATGGGTATCAGCTGGCTGCAAATACAAAATCAAACTATACTCCATATCTTCCAAGCCAAAATTGAACTCTGGCCTTGCTCATAGAAGGCAGAACTTATAGCAATAGCATCAGCTATCTGCACTGCTCCTAGAAACTGCACTATACAAATTTTTACTGACTCCTAATTAGTTATTTCAAAGTTTTACAATCTTTCACACAATACTCATAATACAAATTTTATGAATACTCTTTTAAACTTTTCTAAATCCTACAATTTAAATATTATTTTTCACAAAGTCAATGCGCATCAGGATGACATCTTTAACAATGCAGCTGACCAACTAGCCTGAAACTATCAGCAAGCACTATTTCTTACTTTTAATACAACTAATATATACAATCCCTTATTTACTTTTAGCTCTAATAATCTCCCAATTGAACTTCATATATGGCGCAGTATTAGAACAATATGTCATGCACACATCTTCGCTAACTGGTTATCTCAAAACTGGTTTCAAAAATGGATCTCAATTATATTCCTAATCAACTGGCAAGCAACCTAACTCTACCTTATTAATAACCAAAAAATATCCAATTTTTCACACAACTTCCAATTATCCATACACAAATCTTTCAGAGTCAAATTACTTTTAGATGACTTATCAACACCTAATATTCTTCATAGAAGAAACTCTTCCTATTCTAACAAATATCATATATATCAACAAGAAAGTAACTCACTTCACTGGATATCTTGCCCATCCTCTAAACCTCTATTCAACCTTATTCATAGCTCTTTAGAACATATTTTAAGTCATAACAAACTTCAAATCTCACATTTTCAAGCACACAACCTCCACATCTCCATTTTAAATCTTGATAGCTTTCAAGTACACCAACTCACTCATAAATCTTCTTTAGCTTCTATACTCTCTGGATTAGTACCAATTGACATTATCAACATATTAAGCAAGTATACTACATCCAGCAAAATAGCAACATCTCTTACTATTAAACTTCTTCTTGAAATTAATTATCAAATATACAAAAAATTATGGATTCCTTACTGTATATCAAGATCACAAACTGATTCTACAACTTTATCCCCACCTTCTTTTATACACACCCCTAATATATTCAATATCCCTAATCAGCCAAACATTGAATCTAACTTTATTAATTCTTCACACAAAATTGAAACATGGTATACCTACTGGATCAAGTATTTAATACACCCATCTCATATTATTACTAACACTCAAATCTAGGTGAGCCTTGGCCACTCTGGTTGGTTTAGGCTACAGATAAAAAACTAGGTTGTCTATTAGGCATTTTTAGTTAGTCTAAGTTCTTATTCTTAGCATTAGGTTTATACAATAAAATTTTTTCTGATTTTGTAAGAAATTTTGATTAAACTTAATAAAGATAAGAGCAAGGTCTCACTATTAACATTAAAAAAAAAAAAAAAGAAGTTTAAAGAAAAGACTTGAGATATTAGAGGTTCAATTGAGAGAAAGAGAGTTGAATCAAGCAACAGTAAATTTGAAGAAAGATATAAAGTATAATCATTTGTATGAGCAGAAAATAGAGTTATTGTAAAAGATAAAGTTGTTATGAAAATATTATTTTAAAAAGGGTTATATGGTGGGTTTAAGAGATAGTAGTTATAAAGGAGTAAATGAAAATGATTATGATTTGAGTATTGTTTAGGTGTTTTTAATATATATAGTGTTAGTAATAAAGTTTATAGTAATTTGTTTTTTCAGAAATAAATTTGTTTAAAGGTAAAAGAAGATTGAATAAAGTTGAAATAATTATTAAGAGTAAAATAATAAAGTTTGAAATAAAGTTAAAATTATTAAATTGTGTTGTAAAGAAATTTGTTTAAGTATATTTTCTTAATAGGGTGTGATAAATTAATAATTGAGAAGAATAGTAGGTCTTTTACAAATTGCTCACCGTATGCTCAGTTCTCATGGCTGTGCAAGATGCCAAGGTCTGCTCTGTGCGTTGAGTCTAACTGTCATATATTACTCTGTACTTTCTTAAAGCATACAAATTAATATAGTAATAAATAATAATGCCAAGTTAAATGTAATTTCAATTATTCATTTTCTCTTGAAGTTATTAAAATAATATCTAATATATCTACTCAAACTATATTAATGCAAAATTAAGGTATAATATAAATATAATATATACAGTATTTACAAATTTAAATATCTTATGTTAAAATATATATATTGGTTATATAATTATACCCACTATAGTAAATACTCAAATTATTCACAAATTATCTTGGCAAAAATATCATTAAAATAAGTAATAGGAGTTTAAGAAATTTTAGTAGTAGAATAGTAAATTAAAATATAACTACTTATTGTTATAAATATTTGTAGTGATAGAATCTCTTGAATTAATAATAATAATAATTTAATGTTATCACATAGTAATTATAAATTATTAATGGTTAATAATTTTAGTAACTTTTAAAACTCAAGTCTAGTGTCTAAAGTTATAATAATTATATTTTTATTTGTAAATATAATAGTTTGTAGCCCTTCAAATTATTATAGAACAAAATTTATATCTTGCCAGAGTTCTAATAATTTATTTTATTGAAAAAAATTTTAAAATTTAATATTCAATTAATGGTTGTGGTGGTGCTTCTACTATCCAAGACTGCCTATTTTTTGAAAATATTTCAGTTAAAAAGAATGAGCAAAGATGCCAAGGAATTAAGTACTGTAAATTTAGTAATTTTAACTATTTCAGATTGTAATTTATATAGCACAAATACTATTAAGGTTTTTTCATTAAAGGTTTAAAATATTTTGCATAATTCATATTTAGCAAACATAGTACTGAAAGTGATAAAAGCTTTTCAATGTTGAACTCCCATACTTTAAATACACATCATTAGTTCTTTGGTAACTCAAATTATATAACCTTATTGGCTCATTTATATAATTCCAAGCCTTCAACATGCCATTTAACATTCGCATGGTGCTTGGATAGCTCACAGATGCTTCTTATAATTCAACACATCATTTATTCTCATCATTATATTTCTTTATTACTGTAATTCATTTTACCAAGGCTTTGACAACAAACAAATTTCTCTTGTTCATTTTTTTTATTTTTGATTTTACTTTTATGGTAATTTTCAGATTCATCCGCACTACTATCTGCAGCTTCACCCCCTTTTTCATTAACTTTAAACTCATCAGCATCACTTAAATTTCCCCATTTCTTCAACATCATTACCAAACCTTTCATCAATATATCCATCTTCGTAACTACATCCAGTGGTGCTTCTATCAGCACCATTGCTTCTTCTCTTTAATATTGTTCCTCAACATTAATCATTTCTTCAGTATTGCGCATATCTTCAGATTTTTAATAATCAACAAACATCTTATATTCATCCTTTTCACTACAAGTTATCTCTTCGCAACTGCATTCAAGATTGTTGATTTCATCAAAAACTCTCATTTCTTCAGACTTTTGATAGTTAATGAATACTTTATATTCATTCGTTTCAATATCAATTCCCTTTTTGCAACAATGATCAAGACCTTTTTTATCCTTTTCAGTTTCCACTACTGATTCACAATTATAAACATAATGTTTATTACAGCAAGGTACTTCATCACAAGATTTATATATAGATATATTTTTGAAATTCAAATCTTTTGTTTGATTTGTCACCCTTTTATTCATAATGCTAATGATCCTCTTCTTTTTTTTTGTACAACCAATACCATCATCACTATTTCCTATCAATTCACTTTTAATATATCTAATATCCATGAATTCATCTTCTCTTTGATCATCATTCTTCATTATACTTTCTGCAAGTTTTTAATAATGAATAAACGCCACATGTTCAATATTTTTGGCATCAACTCCAACATCATTCAGCTTATTAGATTCAACTTTTTTACCCACAGGTATGGCTCTATTTTCTATTTCCATTATTTATCCTGAAGTATCTCCTTAATAATCACACATCCTTTTTTCTTTTCAATTTGACTTCTATTTTGATTTATCTTTGTTGATTCTCAACAATGTTCAAATGCCTTCTTCTTTATTTTTGAGTTATCCATCTTAACACTTTTACTATACCTTTGATTACTTTTCTCATATTTATTGTTACCACCAAACCTCATAAACCTTACATCCTCAATCTTACTATCCAGATTCTTCCTTTTCTTCCATTTGTTACTTTTATCAGTATTCACTTTTCTATTCACTACACTACGTTCTGATCATTTATGCTTCATTTGATCTAAACAAGTGACCTGGTCTTCTATACACATAACACCTTTCCTTTATACTATTTTTAGGTTTTTATAATCTCTGCAGTTATCATTTTCATGATTTTTCTAATCATTGTCATCAGACTATTCATGCTTACATATACCATTTTCAGATAAGCTCTCTGTCTCTTATGTCATTTTCTTCTTATTGATTATTTACTACTAACATTTTTATGACCTTTTCTTTTTAATCTTGATTACTCAAAACTTTAATTGCACAAAATTACAGACCCAATTCACCTAACTGATGTCTCAATACGTGGGTTGGTTTTTTACTAGGCCTTGCAATAATCAACACTTTCCCAACACTTATTGCTTTTGACTTTTGCTCTTTAAACTCAACTTTTAGTTCCTTTAATCCTTCAATAATATGTTCACGAAGACTCCACTTTGACATTCAACAATCAAATCACATAGCTCAATAAGGGTATTGTTTCTATCCAGTACCTTATACTGGTTTGATCTTAACATCGTTATTATTGCAAGGGTACTAAGCTTACCCAGGTCCTTCTCTGTCAAAGAGTTAGACAATCGCCATAGTACTGCTATCTACCCAAACTGTTTATTTGATTTAAGATCTCACTTGGCAATTAGAAACACACTTCTTCTTTAATGACAACATACAGTACACTATTTCACACGAAGGTATTTAATTTAACTATTTATTTATTACTCAATAATTCCTAGTCCAAAGTCTGTCTAATTCTTTATTTACAATTTGCTATTTATACCATTCGTGCAATTACATATTTTTTAACTATTTATTGATTTATTAAACTTTCTATTGTTCCCAACAAATCGTCATATTCATATATTGGTGATCACGGTACCTATTGTACCTGATCTTGCATGAGCTGCCCCACATCTTGATTCCTACTACAATTCCAATTGATCACATGATCACATGAGTTGGGGTGCGGTTAGTTAAAAAGAGTTTATAGCTTTTTTTACATTTTGAGAAAATCACATTTCAAATTTGGTGTAACAATAACAATGGCAATTTATTATTAGTAGAACCTGTTGGAGTGACATAAATTAGCCAATCACATGAACGCTTATCTGTGACTTCGCAGCAAGGATTGACAACTGGATCTCTAAATTTTAATTTTAGATTATATCTAATCATATGGGCTAGGTGCAATAGAAAAGAGGGAAATCAACAAAACAAAAGATCTTCAGAAGATCAATTTTTATGTTATAAATTTTATAATAAGTTATAAGAAAATACAAACTTTAAAGAGCTATATTACAAAATTTTATTAATACAACTGCTTTTGTGTTTTAAGTGAAAAATGGTTTTAATCTTATTCTAAATTGATTTATGTAAAAAAAAAATTTTTGAAAATTTGTTGATTTCTCCCTTTTCTATTGCATCTAGCCCATATATAACATTTAAAAAAGAAGGCATCGACAAAAATTTTATTATGTAAATTGATATTTTAAATATCAAATTATATAGAAAAACATATGCTTTATTTGATAGTATAATTAACTCATTTTTGCAAAAAATGCTATAAGCCCCCCTTTTAACTGACTATGCCCCAGTTGTTCGGTTGACACTTTCGTTCCACCTATCCACTATCCAACTCATCATCTATTTGCATATCTTTTACTAGGTATAAGAGCTTTTTGAAAACTATGCAACATTTAGGAACACTATTTGGGTATGAGGACCAATACATAGTAGCTTCTATATCTTTTTCTTCTTCTAAAGAAGCTATATCCTTTAGCACTTCCAAAACAAAGTTTAGTGCTTGGAGAATCTGTTCATCATCAAGGTTACAAGTTTCAAAGGCCTCATTGCCGATTTCTTAGACTTTTGCAGCTTATTCTGCAGTAAGTAATAAGAATAATTTTGTATATTCTTCATTTAGTTTTCTTATCTCCAGGTCTCTTCTGGCTGTAAAGTAGTGTTCTTATGAACCGGTTCATGAACTAGTTCAATATTAAAAATAAAGAAGAAAGCATATAATCACAAAGATAAAAATACTTATATTTCATAATCTACTAGGCCAAATTTAACGGTTTAACTACCATTTTGATTACAAGAGACTCCTCTACAATCTTAATTAGAAGTTAAAAAAAGGTTTACTTAGTAAAGAAAAATTTTTTAGTTAAAAACTCCAAATTCAAAAATTTTTTACTTTAATAAAATTTTTAAATTTTAACTAAACTATTTTTTTTACTAAGTAAACCTTTTTCAACTTATAATAAAGGTTGTAGAGGAGTATCTTGTGATCAAAATTATGGTTAAAATGTTAAAATCAGCCCAGTAGATCGCGAAATATAAGTATTTTTGTCTTTGCGATTATATGTTTTCTTCTTCTTTCTTCTTTATTTATAATATAAATAAAGAAGAAAGTATATAATCGCAAAGACAAAAATACTTATATTTCGTGATCTACTGGACCGATTTTAACATTTTAACCACCATTTTGATTGCAAGATACTCCTTTAAAACTTTTATTATAAGTTGAAAAAGGTTTACTTAGTAAAAAAATGTTTTAGTTAAAATTCAAAAATTTTATTAAAGTAAAAAATTTTTGAATTTGAAGTTTTTAACTAAAAATTTTTCTTTACTAAGTAAACCTTTTTCAACTTATAATAAAAGTTGTAGAGGAGTATCTTGCGATCAAAATGTTGGTTAAAATGTTAAAATCGGCCCAGTAAATCACAAAATATAAGTATTTTTGTCTTCGTGATTATATGCTTTTTTCTTTATTTTTGACATTGAACTAGTTTATGAACCGGTTTATAGGAACACTACTGTATAGCCTCTTCTTCTTTTATCTAATAATGAGACCTTCTGCTTTATGCATTTGCGAAGCCCTTTTCTATTCTAGAGACTTCTTGATATATGAGACAGTAGGGTTATATCACAAAATCCTGAAAAACAGATTTCTGAAGGGACATAATAGTGACAAAGTTAGTCAGCATTAGTTATAATGTTGGCCAATTTGGTTGGTATTATGTTTTTTCAAGAAAATAGCTTTCAGGATTTTGTGGTAGAACTAACAGCAGAGTACCTTCATTAAGATACATATATTTTCTTATTTATTTATTATTTTTACTGATTGTTTTGTTTACTCTAACTTATTAAATTTTTGTAATCTGGGATAGCTTCCATGTTGAATCTCACAATTCATCACCAAAATGCCACCAGTAATTAGTGAGTCGGTCACTTGTCAATTTGAATCTTGTGTAACCTATGTTCAGCTTAGTCGATAAGAGGCATTTAGATTTGAATGAGAGTGATTTTGAATGTAGGTATACCTACTTGAAACTTATATTGAATCTTGTTTATGATATACTAACACTTATATTGTCAATCTACAATATTGCTAACAAAACCACTGCTTGAATTCTTCCACTTAAGCTCAAAACTGGAACTAACAAACTACAGATTACACCATCTGTTGGGTAAACTGGAAAACAATCACAAATGTCTACAGTATATTGGGGGAGTTGGAAAACCACAGCAGTCCTCAGTCCATTGAGAATCAACCAGAAAAAAACATTTATGAAGTCATGTGAGCAAAACAATTAGCGAGCAAAGATCTTTCACTATGCCACTTAGTGATAGATCTGGGTAAAGTATCTAGTTAGAGTGTATTTACTTAGGTACTTAAGGTTTATATGGGTCAAAGGTAATTTTTATTTAGAGACGATAATTGTAAGCAAACAGAGCTTATTTTTTTTAGGACCTTCATGGCCTTTATTTATAATAAATGTTTTGGTATTACAAAAATTAAAAAGTTAATTCCTACCGGAAATTAGTAACCAATTTTGTAATGTGGGCCAAAATTTTAAAGATCCTCGGTCGTTAGCCAATCAGAATTGAGAATCTGCCGGTCCATTTTTGTTACGACAGTTATTGTTAATTATATTATCCCAAGTTAATATCCTTGTTAGCCGGTGTTATGCATGCGTGACCACCATCGGGTTTAATACTATAGTTATAGGTAGCAGCCTTTCCAAATTAGGATTTTTGAAATTTCACACTTGTTCAGAGATAAAAAAGATCTCAAAGAGTACGTAAGTACATACGTACGTACTTACCTTTGCTTTTTTTTCAACATGGCAACATTACCAAATGATTGCTACTATATAATATTAAATAATCTTCAGAATTACTATAAAACTTTATTTTCATGTGCACTTGTAAACCGTCAATGGTGTGGAATTGTTATACCAATATTATGAAGCAAACCAGAAAATCATTTTAAAGACATAAAACTTATAAGAATATTACTTTTAACTTTAAATACTCAAGAACGAGCTCTATTAACACCTTTTAAAATTACACTTCCAAATTACCCAAAACCATTATTTGAATATACATGCTATATTAAATCTATTAACTATTATTTATATGAAGGAATTGGAAATTGGCTTTATTATGAAAAACATCAAATAGGATATGAGCTTGAAAATGCCGTTAAATGTTTTTTGATTGCAATGCTTCTACGAACTAGTAAAAATCTTAAATATTTATATCTTGATGAAATTATTTGTAATCAATTAATATTTGATAATATTTGTGAGAACATTACTGTTACCAATATGGTTTTGTATAGTATTAATGATCTTAATGATCATGGATACAAGCAATAGATGTATTGGGGAAGATTCTTTATAAAAATTCTACGTTAACTT